AAAGTTTACTGTGAAATTCAAATTTAATTAGGGGTCCAGTATTTTATATGGCAACCATACATGTCTGAGAAAACAAGAGAGTTTATTTGTTTTCAGTACATGGAGTTTTTAATTCTTTAAATGTGCTTTAATTTGAAAGCAAAGGAAAAGGAATCTCCTACAAAAACTTCCAGCTCAGAAGCATTTTACATAGAATCCACACTATGTAATCAAAGTGAATGAATCCTTGGACAAGTCAGCCTTTTTGAACATTTTTTTTTTTTGAGAGGTATTTGCTATAGGGTGTGTGCGCTCACCAGACAGACACAGAGAGACAGAGAGACAGAAAGCAAGAAATCACCTCCCAGGAGGTATGGCCATGCCGCAATCCCTTCTCCTCTGTCTCCTCTTGGGATCCTGGGCACGCACACACACGCACCCGGTGTGAGTTTTAAGCCACCAGGTCTGGGACACGAACTGCAGTCTACTACATTGGAGTCCAACGACATAGCCATTATGCTAACTGCTGGTCCCGCCTTTTTGATCATTTGACGTTAAAAACATCTATAGATATTTATCAGGTAGAGGATCAAGATAGCAGGGCCGGCAGGTGGCATGGTGGTTAAGTGTGCTGGAACCCCACAGGTCAAGTCCTAGAACTGACGGCTTCCTTTCTCACTTGCCCTCTCTCTCTTGGTCTGTCTCTCTCTGTTTAAAATTTAAATAAATAAATAAATAAAGTTAAAATAATAATTATTTTTTAAGAAGATGACTGAGTAGAAGTACCCATCACTAATCTTCTCCATAAAAAAAGAACAAAACAAAAAAATACACTTATAGTGCAATATGTAGAGAAGAACACTGGAATCCACTAAGGAACTGTCCAGAGCCTTCTGGCACATGAAGACATAGAAGGAGAACATGAAAAGAAGTAAAATACCCTGCTAAGATGGACAGGCAGGAGCCAGGAGAGACTCCTTATTGCTGGGGAAGGGTGAGAGATCATTAACAGCTCCCTCCCTATGACTACCCTTGACAACTGCATTCATAGCTGCCTGGGAGCTCAGAGATCCTCATGGACCCAGGCTCAATAAAGCATTTTCTCTGAACTCCATGAGTTTGCATATGTCCAGGGAAGGACCTTTGCTGGGTAACTCTAATCTCTCATAACTCAAGCTGCTACAGAACTATACTATTTTGAGAACAGGGCCCCTACTAGAGTAAAGCCTACCCTAAAGAACAATGACCACCACATCTCCACATACCTGAGAACCCACTGAAATTTCACCATATCCAAGTAGGAAGCTGCAGCTGCCTAGCTAGATTAAACAGTTAAGGTCATGACCTGGTATCCAAGCCCATGAAGTACACCATACACTCCAGGACATTGATGGACTGGTGCAGAAGGAAGACTGTTCCCATGAAAGAAACCCCATGGAGACTACACTACTATGTCCATCCAGAACCAAAACCAATACACTTTACCTAATCAACACTACAGGATATATCCTTAGGAAAAAACCTTCTACACAGAAAGCTATTCCACAGTATTGCAAGAGGTGACTGTCCCTCCTGATGCAGTTATCAGTGCAGGGACACAAGAAACATGAAAACACAAAGAAACATGATGTATTTGAAAGAATACAATAATTTCCCTATAATAGATTCCAAAGAAAATAAAAATGTGAAATGCTTTAATAGACGTAAGTTTTACATTGAAAATGAAGTATATGGAATATCCTTGATTTGAGTGTCATGTACTGTATGTGTACTTTGAAACACCACATTGTGGGGGCCAGCAGGTGACAAGGTAGCTGAGGCACTGGGCTCCCACATGGCTGACAGCAGTTTAAATCCCAGACCTGGCAGCTCAAAAATAACAATAAATAAATGCATAAATAAATGTTAAAAAAAAGAAACAAAAGAAAAACCACATTGTGTGCTTTAGAGATGTACGACAATTAAATATGAATTAGAAATCATAAAATTTTTAAAAGGTCTACATTTTTATTTTAAGAAAGCTCAGCAACATAGAAGAAAATACAGAGAAGCAATTTAACAAAATCAGACAAATGATTCAAGATCACAATGAGAAATTCAACAAAGAGACAAAAATATTAACAAGAAACAAACAGTAATTCTCAAACTGAAGAATTCAGTAAATGAAATACAAAGTGAGCACTAGCAGCAGACTACATCAAACATAAGAAAGAATCTCAAATCTTGAAGATAAGATTTTTGTATATCAGCCAATCAGAAAAAAGGAAAAAAAAAGAATGAAAATAGCTACAGAACTTATGAGATACCATCAAGCAAAGAAATATTCACAATATGAGAGTTCAGAAGGGAAAGATACAAAGATAGGAACAGAAAGCTCATTTGATAAAATAATAACTGAAACCTTCTCAAGTATTAGAAGAGATATGGAAATCCAGATAGAAAATGATTAATGATCCCCAAAAAGATTCAATTCAAAGACAGTTATATAGACATAGAAATTATAATTTAAAATGTCTAAAGTCAAAGACAGAGAGACTTCCAAAAGTATCAAGAGAAAAATGACATGTCACATATTATAAGAGAGCTCCTATCAGACTGACAGCAGATTACTGAGAAACTAGGCAGGTCAGAAGAAAATATATTTAATATATATATTCAAAATACTAAAAGAAAAAAAAACTTCCAACCAAGAATACTATACCCAACAAACTTATTTTTCAGAACCAAAGGAAAAATAAAATATTTCATAGACAATCAAGTACTGAGGGAATTCTCCACTACCAGACCAGCTTACAAAAAATCCTTAAAGTGTAACAGTAGTGTAATGCTCTACAGTGCTGGAAACCACATGGAAGATTGACATTTGTTCCCAGGTCAACCTGTGCATGCTGGATATACGCACATGGCTCATGACCCTGGTTGGCTGAGAAGGCTTCATAGAGAACTATGGCCTGAGAGTCTGTTGGGGATGATTTTTTCTCTCTATCATGAAATAAATAAACATTTTTTTCTTTACATTGCTGGACTCCCATGTAGTCAAACACAATTCGGGTCCCAGACCCAGCAGCTTAAACTCATGCCGGGCGCATGTGCATGCATACCCAAGATCCCAAGAGGACAATGGAGGAGAAGGGATTGCAGTGTGGCCATTCCCATTGGGGAGGTGGGTGATTTCTCACTTTTTGCCTCTCTGTCTCTCTCTGTCTTTCCAGTGAGCACATATGCCCTATAGCAAAAACCTCTCCCCCATTCCCCCAAAAAACACTTAAAAATTTTAAATTAATTAACTAAAATTCACAAACAATGCTGGTGTCAATGTAAAATGGTGCAACTGCTTTGTAAAACAGTCTGGAAGTCCTCAAATAGTTAAACAAGTTAGCATGTAGCCCAGCAACTCTACTATATGCCTAAGAGATAGGTGTATAGGGACTGAAAACATATAGATGAAAAAAATCTAGGGACCAGCAGTTAGTGTAATGACTATGTTGTTGAACTCCCATGTAGCCGACCTGGTGGTTCGAGTCCTGGACCTGGGGGTGTAAACTCATGCCAGGCACGTGTGCGTGCATGCCCAATATCCCAAGAGGAGGATGGAGGAGAAGGGATTGCAGCGTGGCCATCCCCCTGAGGGAGTGATTTCTCGCTTTCTATCTCTCTGTCTTACTAGCGAGCAAAAACAAAAACAAAAACAAAAAAACAAACAGAAAAAAAAACCTCTCCAAAAAAATCTACATGTGAATATTCATAGCAGTACTATTTTTTAAATTAATAATTAAATTAATTAATTTACTTTGATTCGCTATGGGGCATGCATGAGAGAGAGAGAGAGAGAAAGCTGCCAGGTCCAGTACTCGATCCATGGTTGGCCATATGGGATTCCAATGCCTCAATCACAGTAACAGCTGCTGGCCTCACATAGCAGCACTATGTACAAAATTCCCAAAGAGGAAACAGCTCAATGTTCATCAATTGCTGAATGGGTAGACAAAATGTAGTCAGTGCATATGCTAGAATCTTTTTCATTTAATTTGCTAGAAAGTGTGTTTGATCACTGGAGAGGGACAAGAGAGAGCAAAGAAAACTGAGAAAGCATCTCCCATACAGGACAGTCATGCCACAGTTTCTTCTCCATTTCTCTCTCCTTTGGGGATTTTGGGCATGCATGCCTTTGCACCTGGTGTGTTTCTCAAGCCACCAGGTCTAGGATTCAAAATGCAAAGTCAGTTGTGTGGGTTCCAGCTGCCTTAACCACATTATCACAGGCTGGGCCAGGTATGCTAGAATTTAAATCATGAATAAGAAGGAATGAAGCCCTGACACAGGCCACAACACGGATGAACCTTGGAAACATGATGCTCAGTGCAAGAAGGCACTCACAGGAGACCAGAAATTGTACATTCCCACTTACGTGAAAATGTAGATTAATCGTCCACATAGACAGGATGTAGATTAATCATTATCAGCTGTAAGGGGGATGGAAAGTGTAGATAATAGGTTTGGTGGTCTCTTTGTGAGGTAATGAAAATGTTTTCAAATTGATTGGGGTAATGCATGCCCGACTCTGCACACACTAAAAGCTTTGGTGTTGCTTGCTTCAAATGGGTGAATTTTATGGTATACTCACTATATCTCAAATAACCCATTAACATTGTGAACTAGAAGTAAAGGTGGCATTCGACATGAACATTATGGTGGAAATGATGCTAAGGGTCCAAAATTCAGGAATCATCAGTGGGTTGCAGTGAGGCTGGTGTCATGAGCCCCATTCTCTGGATTCAAATCCCGGCTCCAGCACCTCCTGGCTAAGTGAGCTAGGACCTGACATTGTCTTTTCTCTAAACTCAGTTTCTTCATCAATGTGGTGCAGATTGTGTTGCTCTCAAAGACCTTTATGGAAAGATACACAGTGCAAGGCAGGTCTAGTGTTAGCAGGGTACTCAGTCCCACAGCAGGGGCATCTCCGCTTTATCACTATTGTTATTCTTATTGTCAGTGAAGGGAAAGGCTCAGCAAAGACTCACCTGTGGAAACTTATAGAGCCCCAGAAGCCTGGCGATGGGGACAGACACGGCTGAGCGTGTATCTCCGACCAGGGCAGCCCTGGGAGACCTGGGCTGACACATGTAGTTGGGGACCGGCTCCTCCTGACCTGTAAGAAAGTCCATTGTCTCATGGAGCGCTCCGTGCACTGAGTCCCCTGAGTTCCAGATGGAGAAGCCCAGCGTGAGGTTGGGCAGCAGTTGGGTGTCCCTGTTGATCTCCTCAATGGCAAATACAAAACTCTGGGCCACATGGTAGCCCCACATGGAAA